AGGGAATTCTTGGAATGGTGTATTTTTAAAAAACCATCTATTTTCCATTTAGTTTACACCAATAAAAACTTGAAATCTTTTCAATATAGTATTACACCAAGAAATGAAGCAAGCAATTAACCAACCTCTCACACAAAATTTTAGAACCACGGCAACATAAAAGCACGAAATGAAATATGCCGAGCATACTTTCCAACACAATGTCAAACCCAAGCTGCATCATACGCAAACTTTTAGCATCAGTTTTCAAAACATTACCTCATATTAGAATAGCCAAAGAAAATTCTACACTGTAACAATAGAAATAGAGCTTCTTGGCTTTCTGCCAAACTAGGATTCCTGCTATTGTTTTCATGTCAAACAAGACATAATTGGAAGGTTTTACACCTTTTTGCTCTAAAAGATGGAGTGAGTGGCCAACAATTAATCGTTTTGTCATCTTTAATCTGACATCTCGAAAGCCAACAACATGTGGGAACTGGTAAGTCGAAGTAGTCGCAATAGTTTAGCCTATCAAGTTGGTGACCTAGACTATCTCAAAATCATTTGTTGTGATTTTTACAGTTTAGATATTTGTTGCTTCTTCCTTTAGTCACAAACACTATTTTTTCCTTCATTACTGCTTCAACAATTTTGAAGTTCTTACTTTTTTAGGATCAATTGTTACTTGCTAAAAAAAGATCTTTTGTTATGTATTATCTGTTTTTTTCTTAAAGTGAAAACATTTGTCAGAGGATGTGGAACATTTTGTCTGCTTATGTTAATTTGCTTAAGATGTATTCCAGGAAATGTCTCTTTGAGTGGGATCATTTTAGGTGGCAACATATCTTGAAGAATGCATGACAGACATAAATTTTATCGGCAAAAGTGGAGAATGATGTTGTGGGAACTTATATTACCAATTGTTATGTCACTTGGAAGTATATAAGGAAATACATAAAGCAAGATACAGAGGAAGCATCTGAGCGAAAGAATGCCCTCAGTAAATTGGATCAAGTTTCATGTTAATATCTATATCATGAAGGAAGTAAAGTTGTTGGAGGTAGTAGTTTAGTTGCCTCTTTTGGGGTGTTATGTTAATAGGAGTTTGGTAGAAATTTTGGTCGTTAGAGATAGACATTTTGATGTATTTTGTTGATGTCTCAATATTTTTACTTTTGTTTAAAAAATGAATAATAAGCTTGGTTTAATTAGGAATGTCAATTGAATTTTTTAGTATAATTTCAATTGTTTTGTTCCCCTTTTTTGCATTTTCTTTTCTTTTTTATGGAAGTTTTTTGGCTTTATAAATTGATCATTTATCATTCATAAGAAAAAGTTGAAAAATATAGGAAAATATTGGAAAATATTAGAAGAATTTAAGTGTTAAAAAAGAACCTAATGAAATGATCATTTATGAGAGAATTTTATTTTTAAATTAAAAAGAATTTATTATTGTCTGTGTTTGATGTGATATATGTTATAAATTTTGGTATATAATAATTTTTTATATTAATCATATATAAATATTTTTTAATTCGTTGGTGAAAAGAATTGGTAGGCTGAAAGTTAATGTTCCCAATCCAAAAAAACATAGCTTACATGCTCTAGCTTATCTTTGGATTATAAAGAATTTGGGAATACATAATATATTTTTCAAAATACTCTACTACTATAATACTCCGCATTATATTATGGAGTAAATTGCTTGCTTTTATTTTAATTAAAATACTTCTATATTATTCTTTATATTTAAATTTAGATTTAAACATTTATTTTCTTAAATTTATATTCTTTATATTTTAGATAAATAATTGACCGTGCAACGCACGGGTACGAATCTAGTCTACACAAAAAGAGCATATGTAAACCTTTGCGGGACGGAGGGAGTATTAATTACAAGAAAAATATTCTATTTACTCTCAAAATCTTTAAAAAAATTATGTGAGAATGGATTAGATAGAGAATATACTTTTCTTTTTTGGGAAGGGTACTTCCGAGAATTCACAAGGGCCAAATGAATAATATTTACTATTCCCGTGCGTGGGAGTAACGCGCTTGCTATCTAGCATTTCAAGACTAACCATGCAACAATTTAAAATGTCCAGAAGTGATTGCCACACTTTTTAATGTTTAAAAGTAAGCAGTGCAATTTTCAAGGAGTTCATAGGTAAATGTTGCACATTTCTCTATTAATTATTATTCGGTATTAATATTTGAAAAAGATTATTATATCATTAGCTTTACAAGTTTCTCTGGGAAATATTTTCTCTGGATACGGCAGTGTGCTACCGCCACATACGAATTTTGACTATCGCGCGGAACCGAGAATTTAGTAAAATGACCATAACTTCTTCAATACTTATCAAAATTGAGTGATTCAAAAACTGGCGATCTCGTATTGAAAAGAGATACAACTTTGGTCTTATGAGTTTTCCGAAGTTCACAAAATATATATTTCTAAAATATTCATTTGGTCATTTTACTAATAAATAAATTACCAACAAATATTCTTTCAAGGATGTGTTTAGCGTTTGAGCTTAGAAAATCATTTTAAACATTTTTGTGAGTGTATATTTTTGAGCTTGTAAATATATGTATATAAAATCATATCCTTACATTCAATTCTACCAATACCTTTTGCTAGTTTGGTGTTTCAACTTCGTTCTTTACAACCAATTCTTAATGGATTATTATTGTACCTAAAACTGTTGGACATGAGTTCAAACCCCTTTATTATTTTTCTGGAATATTTTTGTTTTGATAAATGACAAACAGGATGATGAAATTCAAACGATGATCGAAAATTTACTTTTCGTACCGAGAAAAGAAAAGAGGCGTATCAAGAAAGTTACGGGATAAAAATCAACGGTCCCCCAACGCAGTTTTTCGAAGTGATGTGAAGACTCCGAAGACTTTTTAATTTTTATTGAGTCTAGGATTCTTGTAAGGATGACAATATCTTGTGCACAAAACAATTTAAATTTCTGAGGGATAAAAATTATTTTTGAGTCAGTTGAAAAATCATTTTTTCTCTGTCTAAAATATTTTAGTGAGTCAATCTCAAAATAAGTGTGTCAAAATTTCTTTAAACATTTTCTTAAAGTTACACAATTTTCTTTGGTGAGAAAAATATACTTTAAATTTTTTTTGTGTATTGTTTGACACACAAAATAATTTTTTGGACTCTCTTTTTCTCTCCCCTACTCAAATTCATTGAATAAGGGAGATATAATCGTAGGAACGCCTTCTTATTCTCGTTGTCCCAAACAACGAGTTAGAAGCCAAATTGCTTCCAATCGCACTTGGCTTGGGCCCTTTGTGTTTGCGCATTATTTACATTTTAATCGATTATTTCCTTTAAAATAATCGATTAGATCCAGCGCAATTTCTCAGGTTTGAATCGATTTTTTCTCTAAAAAAAATCGATTAGCTTGGACAGAACCTCCTAATCGATTTTTTGCTTCATTTTAATCGATTTTTAAGCCTTTC